CTGCATTCTGCATCAGGCTAGTGAGGAGGAGTATAGAAAAGCATGGGGATCAACAGCTACAAGGAATAACAAGTATTTTCTGCATGTACTTTATTTTAAATAGATGTTGTCCAACACAACCATTCAGTTTGAACTTTTGCCCTGTAGAATTCTTTCTGGAAGAGGAAAGTGTAGGGCACGGTGGGCACAACAGCAGAAAGAAAAAAAAAAAAAGGAGCTGATGAAGTATATGTGGAAAAGGATCCGTCCCTTTATGATACCAGCACGTTTTTCTGCAGAGCTATTTTTACGATGTCTGCCTGTAAGACAAATCGTCTTGCTGCAATTGAGTTCTTGTGCACCTGTGGCAATAACTTCAGGTAGAACACACCAAGAGGTAGCTTTTTTACCATGGTATGGGGTCCCACGTGCCAGTGGTCAACACAGTGGTGTGTATATGTTGAAATTCACAGATAGGGCCATTTCTTCCCTAGGACTGACTGATGCCAGGGGGCAACAGTGGTTCATTATGTCATGCATTGTGTCAGGGAGGTGCCCCAAGCTCGTGGTCACCAGAATCCCTATGAGAGAACAACTTTCTGTGTGTATGCACACAACAAGGAGGGATTTGGGTTTCCCCTTCATTTGCATTTTGCAGAGCCCAGGGGTTGGATGTGCTGGAGCATGTTCTTGGCCCTTCTACACTATGTAACTCTACCATATTTTCTGCATGTTAGAAGCAACCAGGAAGGTATTCAGGCCCCAAGGTTCCAGTTAGGAAGTTATGACTCCATTAGGAAGTCGTAGCAGTGATGGGCATCTTTCCATCGTGATAACAGCAACAGAAATGATGGTGGGCAGTCAATGAGAAATGAAGTTGTTCTCTGCATCGGAATGCTCTGCAAGCTGATAAGCTGTGCATGGAAAGCATCACAGTAGTCTGTGTAGCAAAGTACAGCAAGGGAGTACGCATGCAGTGTGCCAAGGCATTTTTAAGCAATATTTAAGAGGAAAAGAGGTAACCCCTAATCTGCTTATCCAGCGGTGCGTGGGTAAGTGTGCTGATGCTGAGGAGATCCCTGGAGCTATGGCAGCAAGAAGAGAAAGCAGGGAAGCTCATTCCAGGGCATGAAAGAAGATAATAACCAGGAGTGTTGTATGTAAGTCGACTAGGGGAAAAAATGGACAAAAATAGGGGAACGGTGTTGTTGTAGTGGCTGTTACGCTACAGAAGACGATGACTTTAGAGATGGTCATAATGTGGATTTCCTGCTTGTGCTGTTTGTAATGTGTGAGAACAAATTTAACTCATTTGGTGGGAAAGTTCTTACAGAACCGATGCCTGTGGACAGGAAGGGGTTTCACAGTTAAGATACTGCATGTACAGAACAAAGTTTGCCTGGTCTTCACTGGGTTTTGGATCAGGCCATCCTTGTGAATTAAAAAAGAAAAAAAAAAAAAAAAAAAGAGTATCACGTAAATACAGTATTAATTCTGCAGAAATTCTGCTTCAGAGTAACCGAGTTCAGCCACTCCATTTTTATTATATGACTTTTATCTCCACATTAGCATAAGGAAAACCAAGGGGTGAAATGGCAGGCGTGCTCCCACGCATCTAAACAAACAGAATCGCTCTCTGCTTTTTGCAGACCTTCCGCATGAATCATTATGCCCATTCTGCCTTAACAATTATTTCTGATGTAAAAAGTGCTTGTAAAAAGAGAACTTTGTTTTATTCAGCATTAAATACGTGTATCCAACACGGACTGCTTTGCCTATGCATGCATATGCTATATCCGTATTTATGTGCCTCACGCAGCAAAGCTGCTACGTGCTAAACACAAATCTCTACTGTGGCCACGTGAGAAAGCCCTGCTCATCAGCTCCACTTGTTGCACCTCTCCTGGGATGGGCAAATCTCTCTCAAATGTGCAGTTTTATGAGCGTCCCTCGGCACAACAGGCGTCATGCAGCACTGCAAATTCATGGAGGAAACGAACTCACTCCATCCTCTCTCTGGATCTGCATGGAGCCTCGCACAATGGGGCTGTGATTTATTTGGGGCCTCTGGGTATGACTGCCATACAAGTAGTAACTAATGACAACAGACCACCAGAGATTGCTGAGGTTCATTTGCTGTAAGGAAAAATAAAGCTGGTCCGTGGCACGGCCATTGCACATCTGCTTACGTGCATGAACGTGGCTGATCAAAATCTTGGGGGGCACCTCCTCAATGGTGAGCTGCATTTTCAGACAACAACAACAACAATAAATTGTTTTGTTATTTGTGGAAAAACAACCAAGATTTAAGATCTCTACTAGAGACCAACTCTCTGAGGTGTGTCTGTGAACTGCCCGTTTCTTTCCTTCTTTTCTCTTCCCTGCTTTCTTCTTCTTTTCTTCTCCTTTTTATTTTTTCCTTTTTTCAGTTTGTTCAGTTTTCCTTTTTTCTTTCTTTTCTCTTTTTGCTTTTTTTTCCTTCTTTTTTTTTCTATTTTCCTTTTTTTCTCCTCTCCTTTTTTATTTTTTTTCCATGCTTATTTTTCTTTTTTTTTTCATTTTCTTTTCTTTTTTCCCCTCTTTTTCCTTTTTTTCCTTCTTCCCCTCCTCCTATTTTTTTTCCCACTGTTTTTCCCTACTATTTTTCTTACCCTTTTTCTTTCTTTTTCTTATTCTTCTTCTTTCTCTTTCCCTTTTCTTTCCTCTTTCCTCTTCCATCTTTCCCTTTCCTTACTTTTTCATTTTCTTTTTCTTTTTTTTCTTTTTCGTTCTTTTCTTTCTTTTTTTTCTTTTCCTTCTTTTTCCCTTTTTCACTTTTCCCTTTCTTTTTCCCTCTTTATTTTTTTCTTTCTTTCCTCTTTTTTTTTTTTTCCTCTCCTTTCCTCTCCCCTTTCCTTTTTCCTTTCCTCTTTCCATTTCCTTTTCTTTTTCCTTTTTTTTTCCCCTTTCCCTCCCCCGCCCCCCCCCCCCCCCCCTTCTTTATTCTGCGTCTCCCCCTCCTTCGACGAGCGTTTTCCCCGGCCACCTTTCTGCCCCCCTCCGACATTACTCCGGACGGTCCCTTCCAGGGCCGGACCCAACAGCAGCTCTCACACCGCGGGGCCGTGCGGGAGGCCGGGGTTCTCCCGGTGGGTGAGACGTGCCCTGGGGGTGACACGTCGGTGGGTGACACGTCGGGGGTCGGCAGTCCGGGGCTGAGACAGGAGCCGCCCGCCCGGTGTTCGGCGCTTGTGTGGAAAATTCTCAGGGAAAATTCTTTCTCTCTCTCTCAGGCCCCCAAACGCTTTGTGAATGGGGCAGTGCAACATGTGGCCTTTCACCTCGGCCGAGAACCACTGCCAGACAGCCACACTCGGAGAATTGTTTGTTAATAGTCCAATTAGATAATTGCCATCTTTCACTCCTTTCGTTCTACGTTTCCCATAAAGGAATGAATAAGGAGAGCAGCATGAAGAGGGCTTCTGCCCCGCAAGGTGACAAGAAGGGCTGGAGCATGCTCTTTGCACAAGGCCATTTGCTTGAATTGAATCATTGTCGCCTAATCAATGGTCTTATTGGATTACGGGCTGTTGCGGTTCTCAGAGATATTGTAGCCCGGACAATGAAATCGCTAGAGTAAAACTTTTTTCCCCCTTCAGCGGATCACGCAGCTGAGATTTTCCACGGGCTATCTCCGCTCTCCCTCCGTCCCCCTCTCTCCTTTCTTCTCCCCCCTCCTGGATCCACTGCACATACAAAGCTGGCTCTTTTATTTATTTTTTTTTTCCCTCCTTCTCCCCCCTACCCTCCACTCAACGAGCACAGCCTCTGCGAATAGGTTCAGCGTTGCGAAGGTGCGGAATTACACACACACACACACACACGCACGCACACGCACGGCCGCAGCGCGCACAGCCGCGGGGCGCAGCGCAGCGCACGGGGATGGCGCGCAGCGGGGAGAAGCGCTGAGCGGGCCCGGCCCGACCCCGCGGAGCCGCCGACGGGAGAACTTCGGGGCTGCGTACGCGGTGCGACCCGTCGGGTCTGGTGGGATCCGCGGGGGCTTTTTTTTCCGCACCCCCTTCTCCCCCCCCTCCCCCCCTCCATACACACACACACACCCCTTTTACCCCTCCCTTCCCTCCAACTGCATTTTTCCAGCCCTTCCCGGCAGCGTTATTCACATTTATTTGGCGTGCTCTGGAGAAAGCCACTCTATCATCGGGAGGTCAAAGGCGTACCGAAGAAAGTTAATAATGGCTGCTAATGGTGCGAACAATTCCGGGTGAATCTTGTCAAAAGTTTTTTTTTTTTTTTTTTTTT